GCCACCTTTACAGTGATTAAATTTTAGATAAGGCAATGACATGTCACCTAACACAGTCAGTGATGCGTCTTTCTTATTCCTAAAAACAATTGCGTCTTTCGCTCAACTTAAAAAAAAGAAGAAGAAGAAGAAGAAGTAATGTCTTAGATTTAATTGAATGGAACACTCAGGTAAGATTGTCTTAATCAAATGAAATTCATTAACACTATAATCAATTTTTTTTTATGGCCTAAATCAATATCAAAGAATATTTTCTCTCTATAAATAGAATCCAACAACTCTCTTTGGTCGCAAAACAAGGACTAAGAAATGAGGAAAATAAGGTTTTACACCAAAATTAAAATCTTGAAAGCCAAAGGGTTCAAAAAGAAAGAAATTAGGAAGTATAAGGACCAAAATAAGCTTTTTGCACAACTTTGAAGGTGCTACCAAGTTTTGTTGCCTTTTCCACTTCAATATTTCATCTATTAATTTTACCCTTGTTCAACAAATTAAAGCCAATTGCTCATTAATTTGTCATAAAAAGAATTGAATTAAGGAGAAAAAAATATTAATGATCAAAGTGGAAAAATAATTCATTGTGAAAATTCACAGTGAAATGTGAGTTTATGAACATTATGCAAAGAATAATACTATCTCCACACCTCTAATATTTTTTATAACCATTAAGAATTAATTTGGGATGTAAAGAAAGTTAATATTTTTTATAACCAGTCACCTCATCTATGTTTTTTTGTTGTGGATTGGATTAAGAATTAATTTGGGATGTAAAGAAAGAATTTGCAGGATGTTATTTTTTTATATAAAAAAAATATTTGAAATGTGAAATGAAATTTGAACTCATGTTTATAATAATAAAAAATTAATATTTAATTTTTTTCCTATATAATTAGATGTCAATATTTTTTAAACCAATCCCAACTCTATATTTTTAATGCATCTCTCAATTGTTTTAATAAAAACATGTTTTAAAATTGCAAGCATTGTTTCTTAAATAAGAAATAATAATGATATTAAAAGCAAAATTTAATAAAAAAATATTAAATAAAAATCATTTTATATATGATTTTTTAAAAAAGAAAAGATAAATATAGTGAAATTATATAAAAAATCTATTAAAAAATTTTAAAAACATAAATTTTATTTTAATTGAACATTCATGCATTTTTTTCATATTAGGTACATGATAATTGAAAACAAAATTGATAACCTATAATATTACTTGAAAAACATGAAAAAATTGAATAGTGATTGAAGTATAATGTTTAATTTTTATACTGCATCTAAATGTAAATAAGAAAATAAAAATAAAATACAAAGAGGTTAGGGCTTGAAGCCCGACCCAATAGATAAAGAGCCAAGTGAATCAAGGCCTGCAACATTAAGCCTATGCAACTAACTTTCTTCTTCTTCTTCTTCTTTTTAAGAAATGAAAGAAATGTTAGGGTTGTTCAAAAAATCGACCAATCAATTAAACCGAAAAAATTAAACAAATAAAAAAACTAATTAAAAAATAAAAAATAATCCAGTCCGGTTTAGTTCTGGTTTAAAAAAACTTAAACCGATTGAACCAAATCAAATCGAACCAGTTTAATTGAATATAAAAAAAGGTATGAAAAGAAATTCCCCCTCCTATTTTCCCCTTCCCTTTACCCTTTTTCACTTTTTAATCGCCCACCTTCCTCCTTTTCCTTTCTGGTCGCCCTAACCCTCCCTCCTGCTCCCTTTTCTCTATGCTCTTCTCTCTCATTTTCTCTCGTATGTTAACATTAAATCTTATTTTATTTTATCACTCTGATTTATTTCATAGTTAATTTCTCCTACAATCATTCCTGCTCTCTGGTTTATTTTATAGTCAACTTACAACTACGGCAGCAACAAAAACAAGCGTATTTTATTGGTTTCGGTTTTTCTAGTTTTTAATGCTAAAAACGGAGTAGAATCGAACAAAATCGATTTGGTTTGAACTAGTTCTCAGTTCCGTTCGGTTTATATTAATAATAAATACTATTTTTCAATTCGGTTGAATTTTTAAGTTAAAATCAGACCATGAACACCTTTTAAAACATGTTATTAGTTTTTTTTTTTAAAAAAAACCTATTCACCACAGCATTTCTTTCCAAATTGTCTTTTTTTCAGGTTAGGTTGTTGACTCACTTTTTGTGAGCTTTATTGGCTCTCATCGAGGTGGGCTAGAATGGGTTGTTTGTGGTGGATGCTTAGCGGGCTGGGTTTGGAGGCTTTTTGTTCAGCTGAGTTTCTCTCATATTTGAGTTGGCTTCCTCAACGACTTGGGTGGGCTTGGCAAAACACAGCAAGCTTTTGTTTCTCCTCCTCCTCTGCTCCGCCTGCGTGCTTTTGTTTCGACCGCCGTGTTTTTTGTTTATATTTTTACGTATGGGTGTGCGTTTGTCAGCCCCAGTTCAGATTGCCCATCAGTTTCTTCCTTAAATCATGGCACACGATTGCTTGATGGCTGCTCACTCTTGCCACTGGGTTTTAGGGTATCTAATCCTTACTGTTTTCATCGCGTGTCTTTACACATTTTTCCTGCGCTGAACGAATGCTTTATGCGCTTATTCTTTATTGCCTTTTGATCGAGGTTTGTGCTATTAGTTGCTATAGAACTGAATCCGAATGGCAAATTAAAAGCATCCAGGTATAAAAAAACCTGTGTTTTGCCATTTGGGTTCGAGGCTGGCTAGGGAGTTTTAGGGAGAGAGTACAATGTCGTTGGCTTAAAAAGAGAGTTATTCTAAAATACCCTTTTTTATTCAGCTCAAAATGGTGTCGGAAATCATTGAAAAAATTGCATTTGAGAAGGGAAATGAAGGTGCCAATGGCCAGCAGGCAAGATTTCCCTCGTCCATGTGGGCTGTTTGCTTGATTAATGCATTTATCCAGGCACCATGCATAGTCTAATAAAACTGGTTTAAGAAGTTTGATCAATGGCGGGTTGGGTTCAAAACTTTAAGATAAATTTGGGTTATAACCCATCCTTTTTTACGTTAAAGGGAGAAAAGTGACAAGATGATTGGTCAACAAAATCAGCCTAGAATGAAAGTTCTGGAGTGTTTTAGTGCTGCTTCCTCCCAGGCAACTGCCTCAAATGCTCATCAGGAACTCGCGGTGCCAATCTTACTGGAATAAGGAGACTTGATTTATATAATGAGACAGATCAGCCTAGATACACAGCAATCTTTTGCCATAACTCCCATTAGCATTCTTTTCAAATTTATCAGTCATTCCCTTGGTTTTTTTGAATTTATGTTAACATACCAACCTGTGTGTCAATTGTCATTCACTGACTACAATTGCGATTAACATGAAAAAAAAATAAAAATTGGTTTTTCATTAACAGCACTTTTGGTTTTATTGCTCCAACCATGTTTTTTTGTCATGGGTTCGGGGCTGTTCACTTAACTTGGAAACAAAAAATTATAGGCGCACAACTTTGTCTTTCTCCTCATCTTCTGCTGCTTCCATGTTACATCTTAAGCTCAGAGCTTGAGGACATCGCATCAACTGCATCACTATCAGACGATGTGCCTGGATCGTGACGCCATGGTGGTTCGCCAGCCCCTGCAAAGAAGGGGCGCACAGCAACACCATCCCCATAAAAGGTTGTTTCTTTTGCACCTATATTCATGGTTTTTTTTTTTCACAAAAACATAGCTTCAATACATGAAAAGATGTGGCCTCTTTTTTTTTTTTTAATAATCTTAGCAATGTTGTGTTATTGAACATCCTCTGATTAAACTGCACTACACCTTCCTTCCCTTTCTCTCTTTGATCATGTTCTTGACAACATTGGCATGTTTGGCTGCCTTTTTTCATGCACAACTTTGTCAGCTTCACAAAAAAAAAAAACAAAAGGACACACAACCTTTGCAGAATGTTTTTTGAAGCACCTGTTCGCCTGGGCACACCTTAGTTGCAAATTAAAAGGTCACAGTATAATCCAGAGTCTTGATTTCCCCCCTTCTTCCTCCACTCTTGATGGCCTGCTTTTTGTTATGTTTTTCATATGCTTTTCTTCGTTGCCTATTCTCACTGTTGCTGGCAGCTGATTAGCATAGTTCCTGCTCATGATTCTTCCTCGATTTGTTGCTGTTAATTGAAATCTTCCATGCTAAATGCAACCATCCACTGCAGGACTCCTGCTGATAAGCTTCGTTCCAATGGCTGCTGGGGTTTTTGGCACTGCCTCACAAAATGCTTTGTGGACAACTCCTACTTCATCTCCATTCTTAGCGTAGAAAAAAAAAATCTAGCCTTTGTTGAGCTTTGATTGTTACTTGGATTCCACTTTCACAGTCGTTATTGTGTTTAAGATTTTAAAAATGGTGCCCGTGTTATGGTGCTTCGAAATTTAATTTCACGCCAAGAGATAATCATATAGGGTCCCCTTTCACTTGTATAATAACAGGACAGCAACCTCAAAATATAATGCCTTATAGTAGCATTAATGCACGCAAAGATGGTGGTATGAAAAGAAGAGGCAAGAATTATGAAATCCGAAGTAAAAAGAAGAAGAAGAAAAAGATTTACCGGGGATTGAGAATAAATCTAGCATGATATTCCATTTGAAAGTGCATCAAATGAGTTGGCCTTTTTGATTCAGCTACCATAATGGTTAGTGACTCTCTGATGTCTATAAGCAATGTAATGAGGTGCTCAAAATCTCAGATGAGTTTTTATATTAATATCCCTATGCGCTAAAAAAGTATTGTGCCTTGCACCAAATTTCTTTGCCAAATATTGCTGGAGATTTTTGGATCACAGTTATGTAGCCTCCTTTACTCCTGCATGTTTATCCACCTGGAGATTGCATCTAACAATCTCGCTGATAGAAAAAGGTGCAGTTTCAATAATAGCTACAAATCTGCTCACATGGGCACCATGATTCCCAATTTCAAGAACAAAGTTGCAAAAAACCATCTCTTTTCTTGCAAATTTTACTCAACCAATACCATTCTTCAAGCCTTTTTACCCTCAAACAAGAAAACCATGCACTATACACTATCGATTTGCACCCTATAAATTAAGCAGTTTTCCTCCATGCCTGCTAAAAGCCATTCAAAGCATGAAAATAATCCAAAAAATAGTAGTGTCTAAACTATCTTTGCTTAGCCTAATTGATTCTAATTCTAGGATTTTGACTCCTTTCCGCCAATAGGGTTCTCACTGACAAGGATCAAGGAACTCGCAAACCTCATAGCCTGGATCTTCAAGAAACATGGTCATGGGGAAGTGGCGGCAATTTCGATGTTGGACAAGTTAGTGGCAACCTTGGAATTGATATTGGCCTTTGTAATGGTGCAGCAGGGGGGAAAGAAGTTGCTAGTGGAGGTGAAATTGGTGGTGGTATTGGCTGGCCTAGTTTTAGTGCAGCAACAGTCATACGAGGATGAAAAGAACAATATTCACCAACAAGAGGACATTCCGCCTAACTGGCTAAGGTCACAAGGTTGGTTTCCTTGGCATAGAAAATTTTGTGTGCCGGTTTAAGCTCACCTGGTGGAATCAACATGGCTGCGTTATTAGCATAGAAAGTTTTAAGTGTTTCAGTCTAAGCTCACCTGAAGGAATCAACATGGCCGCATTAATATGGCATCTATATTTCAGTTATAATAGAACTTATTCAATAGATGATAATGAAGTTTTTAAGTATTCCTATAACTCATTTCTTGTTTGAATATAGAATGCAATGGAAGAAGAGAAGGCAACTTCATGCTTATGAAAATATTAGCGAGTAGAAGTAAAATTAATCAATTGATATAAGCAACTGTACAACCAAAATTCATTGGACTTTCTGGTTCATATTTGGCAACACGTGGATGCTTACCTAGTACCTCCAGTGCGCACTCCTTAACAGCTCCAGTGCCCATGCCATGCACAACAAAAATAACTGAGAGTGGCTCTCTTGCAGATATGGCCATGTTGAGGTGCTGAGCAGCTTCTTCCACTCGCATGCCTCGCAGATCCACAGTGTTCTTTGATGTCTGCACTCGTGGGCCATGAGAAACCTCCTCATCTTTGTTGAGCTCTGAAAAACTCTGCTTTACCTATAATTCACACCAGAATGATAAGAACAACTAACTTAAGGAATCCCAGAAGAAATAGAAGCAAAGATAGACAGGAATGCCTGCCGTATCTCAAACCAGTGAAACTTCTTCAGGGCCGTACACCATGCATACCTGTCTCTTCAAACTAGGGACCAAAATGGTTGCTTTGCTTTTTTTATCACTTTTAATTGCTCTAATGTCACTTTTCTTCATTCGAACTCTTATTTTACCATATTGAACTAAAACTGTCTCATCATCACGAGGTGCTTCAACTACAGTAGCTAACTTGTTTCCAAGTCTCTTTACAAGAACTTGCTCCCCAAGTTGTGGGGAATATGAGCTCATATCTGTTTCACTGGCAGGAAGACTGTCACTTGAGCAGTGAGCTTCAACAATAGATGCAATTGCAGATTCTGATTTCTTAATCAGTGAATTGAACTGATCTGGACTGGCTTTTCTGAGCTGAGCTTCAACATTCTGCACCACAGTTTTAATCTGCGAGTTTGCAGCCTTCAGTTCCAGTTGGACCAGTTGGGTTTCCTTTGCCATGAGAGCTTTTACACGCCCATCAAGGTCTTCAGCTTCAGCTTGAATCTTGATCAGTGGAATTGGGTGGAAATAAAGGGGGAGAAAACAAAGAAATCATAACATCAATAAACGAAGTTAAGAAAATAATAATAAGAAAAGGAACACAAGCAACAGGAAGAATTATAAAAGAGGTTAGAAAAAAAATCAGAAGCTGTTGTGCTCATCTAGTTCTTCTAAATTCTACCTCATGGTAAAGCTCCATAATTTCTGTATGAAGAGATGCAGTTTTCCTGGCCTGAGCTTCCAATCTGTTTCTTTCCTCCAACAATGATTGATACAGCATGCCACTTCGCTCTTGCTGCTTTTCAGGAACTAACTTCTCCACCCACTTCCGTGCTCGTTCAATTATATTACTGTCAAAACCAATTGATTTAGCAATGCTTAATGCATTTGAATCACCAGTACATCCCCAGAGTATCTGATATGTAGGTTGTAATGTTTCAAGAGAAAATTCCATGGCTGCATTCTCAAATCGACTATCCTTATCCTTCAGGAGACTTAAATCAGCATAATGAGTTGTCACAACAGCTAAGTTAACATGATCTCTCAGATAATGCAAGATGCTGGTTGAAAGTGCCACTCCCTCAGAAGGATCAGTTCCGCTACAAATTTCATCAATGAGGACAAGTGATTCATTTGAAGCCACTTCCAAGATCTTACAAATCCGTGATATGTGCCCGCTAAAAGTTGAGAGATTTTGTTCCAGAGACTTCGATAAAAGATAACCAGAGTCAGAGTTAAGTAAACCAATCAATAGAACTCAGTACATACCTCCCATAAAACAAGAGTAACTTTTACCTGGTGGTCCCCAATATCTGCTAGAACAAAATCAAACCATGGAAGCTTTGGGGTGTTTTTAGCAGGCAAATATAAACCAGCCTTTGACATGAGAGATGCCACACCTAGAGTTTTCATTGAAGCAGTTTTCCCTCCAGTGTTTGGTCCTGATATCACAACCACTCTGGTTCCACATTCCACTTTAATGTTTATTGGCACAGGAAATTCAGATACATTTTTGGAAGGTTTTCCGGTATCTAGCATGCTATCCTCATCCACCTCCATGGACTTCAATGATTTGGATCCAAGAATATTGGACAGGCATTTTCTAGATGTCCCATGGAGTAATGGGTGTCGTATACCTTCAATATCTATTGATAATAAATAATCTCCTCCACTGGAAGAAATGCCTCCACATCCCTCTGAAGTCCATATTGGACGGACCCCATTCATCCAGTAAGCATAAGCAGCTCTAGCAAAAGAAAGATCAACTTCTATAATTCCATTCAACATATATTTTATGTCCCTCGCTGATTCTGCTATTTCAGATGTAAGCAAGCTCAAAATGCCTATTTCCTCAGATTTCTCAGAGTCTGAAAGCATGACTTCCAAGTTATTCAATTCAACTGCCTCACCAGGCTCCATAAAGTATGTTACACCGGAACTACTAACATTTAAAACAACACCATCTGGAATCAAATATCTGTGAGAAGCCCTGACTCCCACACACAACCGGGAGCGGCGCTTCGTTACCAAAGGTTTGTCGATACCCCCAGCTTGAAAAATCCGAGCTGATATTCCCTTCAACAGCCTATCCAGATTTTCCATGTTTCTCTTCCTTTCAGACCTAATGATCTCCAAATCTTCACTGGCCCTATCAAGGATTTTTGAAAGATTGCAGTCTATGCAAAATCCAACTTTCTTCTCCAACTCTATTTGAAAACTGCAATTCTGAAGTATTTCAAGCAGTGGAGCATACCTATTCAAATACAACAAGACCAATGAGATCCTGTCAAAGAAAACTTTGTCATACAGTGGAATTCAATGCTTGAAGGTTCCTTTTCAAGTTCCATTAAAGATTAAAAAAATGTAATATGGACCCTTATTGCAACAGTACCTTGAAATACATATTCTTTTTTGGCCCTTACTGAAATATGAGAATCCAGCAATAGCATATGATTTATGCCACTCTCTCCAAATTGTGACCTATCGAAAGATGCACCAGATATTTCTTACACATAGAACAAGTTCACATTAAGACCTTCAAAGCTTTAGATGCCTTGAAAATAATACATGATCCTATGTATCATCCTGAAAAGGTTGAACGACATTATCTGAAAGTAAATCATCGTCATAAGTTTTTCCCCAAACCATTCTTTTAAATTAGTGATCCATGTTTATCCAAAACCTACTCAATGTCTTCTACATATCCTTTCCAAATACTTTAGAAGACTTGCATCTTCCTCCAAAAGCACAAACCAAAAGGTGGTCTAACAATAAAGTACTACTTGAGTGCACCAACTTCTACATATAAGCAAACATGAGCATGTTGTGAATATATCAACAAAACAACCAACAGGAATTATTCCAAAATTATAGACCTTCATGCATTGATTCCATCCGCATTGATCATATACCAAACCACAACCATTATCAAAAACACGCATAGCAATCCTTTTCATACTCCAAAACATCACAACCATAGGGCCACTAATCAAGGCCGTCCATGTCCTTCATTTGCAGTGGGTCTCACACGCGCATGAATAGCACACGGCTTAGATTTAGCACAGTTAAGCCACTGCCCTTAGACTTAAACTTTCAAGTTAAGCGTTATTTAACAATAATGAAAAATGAGACCCGAAAGCCAATCATACCTCTCCGAGCAATCTCCACTATCTCTTAACCTCTCCAACACAGCTCTAGCAGCTCTCAACGTCCTTCTCACAGCACATAATTCTCCAACCGTAAGCAAGGTCCCCGAAATAGCAGAATCCAGAATACGCGTTATATCCTCAATCCCTGAAAAATCCAACGGTCCAGATTCCATCACAGCCAATGCAGCTGCAGTCTGGTCTAGAAGCTTCTGGCTCTCTTCTTTGCTCTTGCCAATTGGGATTTTTGCGTTTCGAGTGATCGATTGGCCCATCGAAGTCGAAGTGAAGGGAGTGAGTTGGTTACAGAGGGAACTCCATTCTAGGGTTTTAAGGGTTTCGAGTTGGAGTGAGTGAGCTGGAGGAGGGAGTTTCGGTGAGTGTGAATCAAAGGGTTTTGTTAGGGCTTTGTTGGAGAAGGGTGGTTTGGTGGTGAAGAAGAGAATCGGAGATTTTTTAATGGATATGAAGTGATTGGAGAGTTCCATTAATGGAGGATTTTTGAGGGAGAGAAGGAAAGGGATGGGCTGTTTGGCATCAGCTTATCCTTTTCATTTTAAGTTAAGAAACAACTGAAACTAACAGTAGGAACTGATGATGACGTGGCACAACTTCGTTTAGAACGATATGTCGTATCACATTCGCGCTACAAATTATTAGATCTTTTTTTTCTCTTCATCCAAACCGGTCCGATGGGCTAACCGCAGAATCAATCAAAATTTATTATTTTTATTAAAATAACAGAATTTTGATTTTTTTTGTAAAATATTAATATGGGTAAGTTTTAACCAGCAAACAATGTTACTAAAAAATTTATCAAATTAAAATAATTTAATATAATTAATTTTTTCAATTTAATTAAAAATATATAAACTAATCTCCTTCCAAACTAAGATAGATTTAATATTTATATATAAAACTTTAAATTAATTAGAGACCTTTGATATTATTTTCGTTTTTCATTTTCTATATTTTTTAAATTTAAGATAACTTATATCCATTTATTTATTTTAAATTGCTATTTAGCTTTTGTTTTTTAATTTTACTATATAAAATATTATCAAATTTTTCACTAACATTTTCAGAAAACTCATAAGTTATATGGCTAAAACTCCAGCATATCGAGAGTATTAATTCTTTTAATGTTAAAAAATTATCTTAATTCAATACCTTAAGCTATTAAATAAAATTTTAAAATATAATTTATATTATTTTCTAACACACTTTCTCAAATGAAAACTCAAATGACTTAAAACTTACACAGAAATACATTACCTTATACTTAAATTTTATCAAATAAATAAAAAATAGTGAAATTCAAACTCGTGATCACTTTATCATAAAAGTTTTAATATATGTTAAAGACTCAATTCAACCCCATAATCTACGCTATTAAATAAAGTATCAATTTATATTATTATGTAATATTTAATAATACCTTAAAATTTCTATTTAGAATTAACAAAAAAAAACCCTACAATTTTATTCCCACAATTATATATACATGCGGCTCCAATGGAGTATTCACATTCTTTCTTGGCAGGTTGTGAGCACGGTATTCACATCCAAACACAGAAGTTAAGAGTGCCTGATATGGTTTATGAAACTGGACTGCAAATTGCACCAGACAGCTACGAAGACACCTTGACAGAACTTGAGTGGGAAATGAACATCATTTTGAAGAAATTAGGAGGCTAGGAAATTCAAAATTGAAACCCAAAAAAAAAAAAAGGCCTCTTGGAGAGAAAAAAATTGGAAATTAAACTACAGGGCTTACTGTTCTAATTTATCCCATTATGTAGCTAAGATAGGAGAACCACAAGCAGCAGGAGCGTGCTTTCCCTCTTTATAGACCAGGTTTCCTCTGACAAATGTTGCCAAAACTTTTCCAGAAAGTTTGCTTCCCATGTAGGCTGAGATACTCTGTGCACAGCACAAATGTGATTAGTGGTTTCGACAGTAAAATCATTTTACTGCGATGATTAGGCAAAGTTCATTAGATCATTGACCATTTGGCATGCAAACTTCCAACTGCAGTCATTCACTTTGAAATATCCCTTCGATGGTAAACGTTTTACTAAAAACTACTATTTAGAACAAGCAGCATCATTAGTTCAATGTATCAGAAAGGAGGGTGGAGAAATTGGAGGGCATACGGGATGTTTAAGGTAAACAGGAAGATCATTGTTGAGTTCAAACTCCACATTTGGCTCCCATACGGTAATGTCTGCATGGTTTCCTACTGCAATGGCCCCCTGCGAAATGAAGTTCAGCTTCAGGTGATATTACTGTAAACAATGTTATGATCTTTCTCATGTGTTTGCTCTGGTTTTTTTATTTTTTTTTCTTATTTTCTTGCCTTGACATCTGCCATTGTTAAGTAGTAGGAAAGAGAAAAGCTTTACCTTCAAATCCTGCCCAGCAAGCTTGGCAGGCCTTTCACTCCACCACAGTGCGAGCTGTTCCAGTGTTACACCATATGGCCGTCCACGTGACCATGTCACAGGAAGAACAAACTGCAGATGCTCTCAAGAAAATGCCTATGGGTTTCTTAAATGATAGCAAAATAGCAAACATATCTATTATAGACAACAATTTCCTTCTCTTTTGCATTGGTTAAATTATGGTCCTAACAATTGACATGGTTTTTTTTATTCCGGTGATAGTTACTGCAAGTGTTTGAGTTGCTGTCTGTTTAGGCCAGAAATTGTCTAAAGCCATCGGAAAATCTTTCGCTTCACAGGTGCTAGAAAATGTTACTGCCCAACAAGAGATGATAGGATCCTTGGATGTATGTACAAGGAAGAGGTTAGCTCTTTTTCATGCACAAGAATGCAAACCAAGTGAGCTGCCATTTGTTAATCTTCTTTTTTTTCATATTTGCCTTAATTCAATCTGAAATATCATTTGCAATAAAATGTTCATGGTGATTAGAATGTTCTTATGGACAAAAATCTGCATGAAAAGTGAGCCAAAAATTCTGAATTTGAACCTTCTTCAATAACCTGTAATCCAGGTCAGCCATATTACTATTTCCAGTTTCAATGATGACAAGCAAACTCGTTGAAATTCTAAACGGGCACATTGTAAGACAATATTCTGTATAACTACAAGATTGCATCTCGAGGATGTTAACCAGTAGAGTTTCACATGTATTGGCATTGTAGAAGTAAAACAGTCATATGAGTTGGTAATAAAAGAAAGACCAACCTGCAAAGAAGATATGCCACCCCAAGCCTTCAAAAAGTTACCTTCATCGAAGAGTTTAAGATCAGGAACTGATGGTGAATGATCAGAACTTAACATGTCGATGTCACCTTCCTGAAATAGAATTCAAATCATGCATAGACAAGTGATGTGAAGAGAAAAGGCAACATATCATCCTGGAATCTGTAAGTACCAATAGAGCCGTCCATAATCTTGCTTTATTAGCTGCGTCACGGATTGGTGGAGCACATTTAAAACGAGTGTCTCCATCCTTAATCTCCTCTGCTGAAAAGGCTAGGTAATGGGGACATGTCTCAACAGTTACGCTGTCACCATTACTTTTTGCTTGCTGTATAAAAGCACAGAAAAAGACATCATAAAAAATATGTGCAATTATCAAGGACATGAAACTGTTTTAACACAACTAAAAGGGAAACGATGACCCTAGGTCAAACATGCAATTTGATTTGATTTGGATATATTCAACTGGTATCTAAATTCCACCAGCAGTGCAGTAGTACCAAGCATCATTCCCATCCCTCCCCCAACAAGGCTCTATTTCTATGCACATGCACTCCGTACAAGGAAAATTAAATGATACCTTTAGAAGCTGGAGGGAGGAACCTGCATCGGACAAATGAACAACATGAAGATGAGCTCCTTCTGCAGGACCACCGATCTTAGTGTCCTTGGACACTGTCAAGAGCTCTCTAATCGCTGCCTCCTCCCTAGTTAAGGAATGTATATTGTCACTACTTATATGTGCAGACATGCATAGAAATCATGCCAAGTGCCAGCCAAACATATACAATGAGCTCATATGAAGATGCCACAGGGAACCTGTTTCTTGATAACATGTAGATGAAAAGCAGGATCTTGAATCCAGATTGATAATAAAATATATGAAAATGTTGATAGTTCACTGAATGACAGAATAACTCGGCCTTTTGAAAATATGAAAGTATCTGTAACTTCTAGCTTTTCCAGTGTCTCATCTAGGACAGCATACATCAAACAGAATAAGTAAAAATTGGCCATAATATTATGACACTATCTGAAAAGGCATAACTCTATGCTATTTCATAAGTCAAAAAGTGTTAGCCATATGCCCAACGAAAAAAAGAAACTGCAATCATTTAGATCCACAGGCTAAGTATAGATAAGTAAAATATAGCTTCATGTGTCGCTCACTTCTTCAGAAAAAGAAGTCATCAGCAATATCATACCATGACGGTGGCCTTGTCTTAAGGTACGTTGAATAAGATCGAGGGTCATTTTCACCGTCTTCTAAGTAGCTTTCAGAATTTTGGAGAATCTCTGCATGTACAAGTAAAGGTCTTCTGTACTTTGCCAGTATAGATAGTCCCTCCTATGGAGGCAAAACACAAAAAGCTTAATACGCGTCAAATAGAATCTAATATTGCTGAAAGAACGGAGATCACATAAACAGATATGCAGCATTGATTTGAACCAGTACCAAACCCCAAACACAATTTTATTTGACCGGATCAAATTTGTTATAAGACAGGCTAAACCATGCATCAAGAACCCAACCTTGATATGACTAGAATTGGTCATTGGGAAGTCATCGATCCCTGAAGGACACATGAAAGACTGCAAAACAAGAACAGGAAAGTAGTTATATATAATTCAAATTCAATGAATGAAAACGACAGAAAATACATGTGCATGGGCATGGTAAACAAAGGCTCTAAAAATTGATTTGGCATCTAGTAAAACTAAAAGCTGATAACAAAGGACGAAATCCATCAAATCCCTCACTGATATGGCATCACTTGTATTCTGTAGCAGCAGATAAGTGCACGCCACTTATTTTATTAAATAGTTCCAAAAATATACGCTGAGAGCATGTTTGCATGAGAGAATACCACTACATGATTTCAAATTCGAGCAGCAAACATCTTGCAATGCATAGAAATATTGTTCAGTGAAAGCTCGTAAGAAATGATCACAGATAAAAATCCTAAGATGCTTCCCTACCTTCAAACCAAGAGCACCGGCACTTAGGAGGGCTTCAAGAGAATTTGCATCAAATGCATTTTCAGGAACAAGACCTCCCCAAAAACCTAGTTATATTAGAGCTTAGAAACAGTTCCTTGAAACATTTTTAAACTGAGATGAGGTTTTAGGAGCATACCAACATCAACGTAGATGTTCTTCTCTGCAGCGTCAATCTATCACATGCATGTCAAAAACATTAGGACAAAACCCATGAGTTGGTAAACTATATCCTCGTTTAGGGAAAAAAAAAACCAGAAACTTCATAACCCAAGAAAAAGCAAGGATAATTGGACTTGAATGGGAATCTCCCTAATAGTTTAGGAAAATCGAAGGGCAGAATAATACTGCAGCTTAATCTCTGCAACTGAAAGCACTGATATTACTCGATGATATTAAAATAATAATCCAACCCTTAACTTTGTACCTTGAGTTTTAGAGTTTCTGCAGAAACAGTTGAGGGAAAATTATTCAAAGGCATGTCAATCAATGTTGTAATACCACCTGTAAAAGGATAGTAGTGCCAAGCTTAGTGCATACAATGAAACAGTGGAGATAATTGAAAAAACAAATGGCATAAAAAATCCCATTACAATAAAATTCAGAATTGTTTCAAACTGCATGAAGATGAACTGACCATAAGAAGTAGGCAAAAAAAAAAATGACATACTACTATTCTGGATGTCCATTGACATCCCATGCCACAATTTATAAACATTGTGTGAGATTCTTAAGAAGTCTAGACCATGCAGAATTTGGGAAATTGAAAAAAAAAAAAGGCATCTTCTCTTGACAAACATCAGTGAGGATCACAACATTAGTATAAGAAAATTCAATTTCAGTATATTCTAACAAGCAAAAGAGAGTACCGGCAGCAGCTGCTCTAGTCCCAGAAGGAAACCCCTCCCATTCAGTTCTTCCCGGATCATCAAGATGTGCATGCCTGATGCAATCATATCAAGTCGTTATTTCATCACTTATTCATATATGCTTTAATACTCAAAAAGATACTGCTAAGCTGATGCGAAAATAACAAACTAGACTTCGTGACCGTAGTGTTCTCTCAACAAATATTAGAATCAATCATTTTACAAATATTCATTTCAAATTGATCATATTATCTTAAAATGAAGAAACTTCAGGGCAGTCAGATTCCTATTTCTTACACATCAATCAAGCCAGGCATGACAACAGCTTCTCCATAATCAATTATTTGCCCCCTTTTCAAATTACCATGCCAATCCTCTTCCTTAACTATAGAAACGATTTTATCTTCCTTTACCTCCACTTCTTTCGCGAAAAAAAAGTAGTCAAGAAGCTTGTAACAAAACTTTATAATCCCAGAAAGAAATAAGGAATCGTTATTTATTAAAACAAACCTGCACCGGAAATAACTCCACGAGGTGTCACAATACGCTTACTAATAATCCAGTAATGGTTATAAGGAAAGAGGCTACAATCACTTCTTCCAGAGAGCTGCAAACCAACATTTCAGTAAAAAAAAA